GCCTCCGGCACCACACTCATCAGACGAAACACGGAATTGCTTCCATTTCATGCCTGTCTTCTGTGTGGTCGTGGTATTACACCGGGCGTGCTGGCCCATTCATGCTAAGATGTTAAAGCGGGCACTACTACTGTCAAAATGGGGGTGAAAAACAATATATCATATAATGTTTTTCACCCCCATTTCTCCTTGCCATTTTTATCCATGTGACATTTTGGTACACATGGCTTGAGAAATAGGTCACATACACAGTGTTGAAGACACTGTGTGACAAAAAGATACACATGGCGCTTAAGGTGTTAAAACATTTTAAAGGATCTCAATGAAATTTGTCACAGATGTTAGAATACGGTCTGAAAAACACATAGGTTCTTTAAGTTTTCTAAATTACTTGTGGATGATATTGCAGGCAAAAGCTAATAAACTACGCATTTAGATGCTTTGACAATATTATATGGCAACAGATTTGGATTTTCCCATGTTACCTAATATTAGATGTTTGTGTAAATGTTTGTAAGGATGTATGAAATTGTCTAATCAGTATGTAAATTAACTGTACAGTCAGATACATAAACATGCATCTAGTTACAAAGATTTATAAATTTGTATATGCGGTATCAAATGTTATGCATGAACTTATCAGTGTGAATACTTCCAAGGTAAAATTTATACAATGTTTTTTTAACTTATACAAAATTCTAAAGCTTTGTAAATGTCTACATTTTTGTGCAGCTGACTGTACATAGTGTACATCATGTCTATAATCAGCCTAGCAACAATAATGGGCGACAATAATTTTTACACCTAAGTGTTACTCGCACCTGTATTAACGTTGACTTAAAAGTATGTTAACTATTAGGAATATATTAAGTAAATACCGTTTTGTTGTCAGGCAATAAGTTTTATTTAATAACGAGCTGTCGCCTGAAAACTTCGATAGCGTGGAATTAAAAAAAATGGTCGTCTGTAACATACCCTCGTGCATCTACTTTTTACTAGCTACCTTCCAAAGTCCCGTCCAATTCGGTCCACCCGTTCCAGAGATAGCGGTCCGGTCGCCATTTTGACAGCGCGGAATTAAAAAAAAAAGTAGCCTATAATATGCTCGTCTATGTCAGCTACCCTTCAGTAAAAGTCCGGTCGATATTGGCTCAGTCGTTTCGGAGATTACCCGGAACAAATGCGGCTTGAGGACTCAGACAGACAGACAAAAGAATTTTAAAAGCGATTTTCGTTATTAACGACGCAAATCATCTTCACAAAATCTATTTTTTTTTATTAATACAAATAAACACTCCGATTATATGTATAGATATATAAGATGGTTAGTTTTTGACAAACTGACGTTTAAGTTTTTTAAATAATATTGAAGTAATTATTTACAGTTAAATTGAATATGTACACAACAATCGCATATCCGTATCCGCCGGATAAATTGTTATCAAATTGCAGTTTGTTAACTTGTTAACAAGATTCATCTGTGTGCTTTCAACATGTGACCGTCTGGAATTAAAAAAAAAAACAAAAGTAAGTGGCCTGTGTTTTTCCTGACTGTACTTGATGTCTGTGCTAAACATCGAAATCCGTTCAGTTTAGTTTATAAACTTTAATAAACATCCATCTAAACTTTCGCATTTATAAAATTAAGTAAAAAATAAGATGATCATGAGATTTGATACAATTAGAGTATTAAGAACGTAAAGTATTTATGGGTTATTATCGAATTTACAATACGCGAACACTCTGCATTGTTTCCTCATTTCTGAGGATCGTGTTTGTTGTGTGTGATTGATTGTGTGTGATTCTCATCGATGGACGATGTGGGCGTGGTGCATATTTGGTCAGTCAAGCGACCATTAATTTTTAAAAATAAAAAAAAACCTCTGATATAAAATAAGGATTAAATAAAATGCAAAATAAATATTTTAAATGAGCATTGTGATGCTGACCGGATTGGGTCCTTGCTCAGCTATAAATGCTGGATGCTTCTAGTTGAAATACCCAGCGCTGATTTTCCGCGCGAACCCAAGGGTTCATCACATGGGAGCATATATTGTAAAGAGAATGAAATGAATGACGAAATTTATACATGTCTTTGTATATGTTTCGTCAATGGAAACTGACTTGGGGCGTTATCGCAGCATTAAACCAAATCGGATTTATCAATGTCTAGTAATTGACGGGTGGCTTGAGCGATACATGGACAGCATGATTGATTTTATTTTTATTATATTGATTTGTTCTTTTTTAACGTTATTTGACCGTTGCTATAATTTTGTATTATTCACTACAAAATAAGCGTAAGAGCGTTGATGGCTCAGGCGTTAAGTTCTTCCTTGAATTTTTATATGTACATTCTATAGTGACGCACGTCTGTGCGCAACTGATAATCTATACTTCTATACTAATATAATAAAGCGTAAACACACACTTATTTGTTGCCTAAGATGTCAGCAATCACAGCATATTTTAGAATAACTCCCTTTTTAATAAAAAGCCATAAATTTACGTTACGCTTTAGGATATATTTCTTTTATAACATGAGGTAGCAAACGAGCAAGCGGCCACCTCAATCCGCCAAAATGGCAAGGCGACCGCTGCCCATAGACATCGCAAGTGCAGATGCGTTGCCTACCCTTATCCGACGGAGGAGG